ACAATTGAATTCATTAAAATTTGTTTAGGTCATTTATCATTCTGAATGATTCAAAATAATTTTTGTTTAAAACAATAATAATTGCATTATGCGTATTTTTTTAAATATAATATTTTTAACGGAATTTTCAATTTAACACAAACACGACAAGTTTATGTGTATTTTTTAAATTATATATTCAACTTATATGAATTTATAATTAAAACAACATTTATATAACTATAACAAATATTAGAATAATATTCCAATAATCAGATTAATTGAAATGTAAGATGTAAGTTAATAAGCAACAAATAACACCACGAAGTTTATAGATAATACATAAAGAAGACGTTTCCGAATGAATTTTTTACAAAATATCGGCTTGTTATCTTGAAAAACTGACATATCAGTCTGATTATAAAGGCACATTTAAAATTAGGTTTCAGTTATTTTATAAAATAATTTATTGATTTCATTTACAAATAAGAATACATTATACATTAAACCTTGATTTTAATTAAATAATATTGAATTACGTTTATTATAATAATTAATTTTAATACTATTGTCGCTATTGTTGGGATGGAAGCCATTATTATACTGGTAAATATTGCTGCGTTTGCTTGTTTGTTATTTAAGCGATTTTCAACAATTGAAACATCGAATTCAAGAACATGACTCTATTTATTTTAATTATAATTTATACAATAAATTATTACATACAAATTTTGATAATTTCTTATCTTGTCGTTATTTTCATTGTATTAAAGATTATAAATTTGCAATTTTTTTTATTTGCAATTTTAATATTTCGATATATTAATCCTAGCTTTCTAGAGATTTTTGTAACTATATAAGAACATAATTTATAATTATTTAATTATATCATATATATTTGAATAATTATTTTTAAATGTTCAGAAATATTTTAAAATGAAATACACAGTAGAGTTTGTTGGTTTGTTTTGTTTATAATTTATAATTTCCATAGTATACAATAATAAATATTTTATTAGTTTGTAGCAATACGAACACATATATCTGCTCTATATACATGGTTTAGTTATTTTTATTTTTATTTTATATTAGCTTTCGATGATATTTTGTCATGTAAATTTATCAATACTCCAACACCTGGTAAATATCTGTTGATGCCAGTATTTATAAGATAATTTTCATGTGTCAATAATCATATAATGAAATACTTTTACCTGTTAATCCAAACGTATTTTTGCTCTTATTTTTAATAAAATTCATGAATTTCTAATTATAATTGCTTTGCATATATTAATATATATATATACATAATATTGTTATATAATCAAACTAATTGATAATTTGATAACTATATTAAGGACTCAATTGTTTCTTCTATTATCCAGATAATAGTTTACATATTCGAAATTTAATGCTATTTTATTGTAAATAATGCAATTAATTCTGTTGTTATTAAATATATGGTTAATTGTTTAAAATTATTAATCGTGGGAAATAATTTTTAATTTATTTAATTTATTTTATCATTAAAGGATACTTAAATAATTCATTTAAAGTTTAGATATTTTTTTATACTTTATAATGATATTGCTATTTATAATTAATATGACGCTCTAACATACTTTTTGATTAAATTTATTTTAATTACTTTTTTTTTAATTAGATTCATAACTCCTTGTTATTTAAAATTAATTTTATCATTATTTTTTAAAATCATATATTAACAAATCATTTCATTATACATAAGAAATATAGCAAAAAATTTATGAATATTTAAGTTATAGCATATTAAACCAATTTTATTCTCCTTATTTATATAAATATTGTTTTCCCCGATAATATAGTATTATTCCTAAGCAGATTACCGAGCTGATCTTATTTTATTTATTAATCTTTTTGTTCATAAGATTCTTTTCGATAGAAGAGAGTTTGTTACTAACAAAATATTCGATTATACTAATTATTTTAACGTAATATTTTGTACGATAAAACAAATTTTGAATTCACGCTAAAAATATTATCCATATTTAAAAATTATTGAAACAATTGCTGCAAAGTGATAAAAATTGTTAATAACGTTTTGAAGTATTTAATATTTTATATAGATCCAGATAAAATTTATTAATCATTTCAAGGCATAAAAGATTTTTAACTGCTAGTGTAGTAATAAAATACCCAAATAAAATAAATTATTATAATGAATTTATTATAAAAAAAATTCAATCCATTCATTTTATTGAATTATATGAAAAATTGAATTAATAATTTCTTTCCATAATTTAAGGATAATAGCCACACAAGAAAAATATATACAAAAAATAATGCTACAATAATTTTAACGCGAGCGGTTTGAACGCTGCGTAAATGAATTTATATTTATGATAGTTTCAGCATACATACATTACTTTAACCAATGCAATTTAGTTGTTCACTTTGAATTTACGTGACAATTTTAAAGTACTGTAATAAGAATGCATAAGTTGCGCGTTACTGTCTCTTCCTAAGCTTATCTCTGCAGACGGTACATCAGAGATAAAATTTATATTTATAATATAATACAAAAATAGATTGTTGTTTTACTACAATTATTGATAATAAAATATATATTTTTAAATTGAAATAACTTTATTGTCAATTGTACAAAAATTTACATTATAAATTATGTATTTTTCAAAATTAGAATAGAATCTATTAGACTATAATATTAAATGAGATGATTCAAACATAAATTTACGAGAATTATTAAAAATGGTAATTATTAAATCAGTTTATGATTTTGTACATTATATTAGACAAAAATTCTAATCTTTTATCTAATGACTGTAGTATCTTTATTCTGAAGTGATTACGCACAAATTTACTGCTTTCCGCGTCCTCATTATATCGGAAAAATGAAAATACGTATTATAATCATAAGGCTAATCGCAACAATAATCCACACTCGCTTTATAAAATATAATTTAATAAAAATTTTTCTTAGAGTCCATCCATGTTAGTTAGATCAACATTGACATTTTATTACTCCATTAGAAGTATCATAGCATTACAATTGAATGCATTAATTTTCCAAAGGATAATTATAATCGTGTTTACTGATTTTTCAAATAATAGTTTTCGACAATATACTTTCACACTTACATCGTTAAAAGTTTTGATCATAATGTAGCTTTCAGTGCTTTGCAATATCATCATTTTACGAAGTTAATTAAGTTAACTTAGACACTGAAGAACTTTTGTGGTTTTGAATTTTACGAGGGAAAAAGTTTGCATGCATATACATTATAACATCGAAATAACTGAAATGGTTAATAAATAATTTTCCAGAAGCGATGGCAAGTTCGGTGATCTCCAGTAGTGTCGAACTCGGTTTAGCACCAAAAATTTAACACGCTGTGTACTCGCATTTGCAGCACTACAATTTATAATCTGGCACTCTATGTGTAAAACTGGAAACATTCTTACCGCATTCATACGAAATAGTCGCGGAGAATAGAAAATACAACATTTATCTCATCTATAATATTTTTAATGCAGCATCTCTACGCTCGTAACTAAGATCATAACTCAGACAATCGCAAACACGAATATTATGCACGAATATTTATAATACGCATAGACTGTTAGAGAAATTGTAATTAAATTGTAATTCACCTTTTGCATCAACTAGTGTCATTGCCAATTTACGATGTTTATATTTAAACAAATACGTAATGCGAATGAAAGTATTCATTTAGATAGAAAATGATTGTTGAAATTCGTGAAATTTAATGTTAGTAAAGTTTTTATTTTTCCACGAAAAATGCATTCTTATTGGCAAATCATAAAGAATCAGAAATAAATTATTATAAATTTTTACTTAAAAATAAAAAAAATATTATATTCATATGATTATTATATATTGATTATATTGAAATGTGTATCAATTAAATATTTGCTGTTCTTGGCTAAAACTTTTAATGACCGTTTTCAATATATTTTAATAAATTAAATAATTCAATATTAGAAAATATTTTTTAAATGGCACTTGAAATAAAAACGGTAATTTAACATTTTCATTAAATAGGGTCGTGCATTTTATAATTATGTATATTTTATAATATTATGTGTAACTACGTCGTTGCGGGTTACATATAAATATATATTTCATCGTTTAATTATCAGGGACACGTCGTAATTTATGTTAAAAATGCAATAATCTGTATCCTAGATAAGGATAAAAGTGGTAACGAATCATATTTAATAATAAAATTCTCAAATTTGCTGTCATTATAAGATCAATTAATTGATATCATTCTAGCTTACAATAGTACAATGTAAAATATAAAAAAAAAATATGTATAACAAAATATTCGGGATGATACTTTCGCAATATACAGTCTTAATAAATTTATTCAACTGTGATTCGAAAGATCCTTTAAGAACGTGAAATAATAATTATTATTATAAAAAAAAAATCTATAAATACAAATAAGAGAAAGTTTCGCATTAGCCGTCATTATTTGTACATAATTTCTTTTTTCTTTTTACAAATTCTCGAATAATAATGACGAGCATCTAGTTATCCCATATATAGATGGGAATTGATTTTTCATTCAATTAAGACAATGATAAAATAAATGTTTGTTTTTTTTTTTTCAATGTAATCCGCAAAAATTGGAGAAACTACTACGTATTTGTTCACAAAATGTCGCGAATAACTGTACTTTAAATTAAAATTTCGCATAAAATCTACAAGAGCATAACCTTTAAGAGCTCCAGTAATTGAAACATAAAATAATAGTACAAGTTTTAAGAATAACCTCTTTAAATACGGAGTTGTCGAAAGAGTTTGCAAAGGAAACAGTACGAGTCATTAAAACTTTTCATTTTTCCGCCCGAGTCTGCCCTTCCACGTCCATCCACCCACCCATAGCAGTGTGCCAGCGCGTAAGATAATAAAATTCACAGCAGGAAGGGACATCAAAAGCTCGGGGTAGCGGGCTATGAAAAATTGCTAGTAAGAAGTGTGAGTGCAACGTTACCCGCTCGTATGGCTCGTATCCACTCGGCTCTGTCTTGCTCCCGCGCTGCCACGAGGTAGAGGGTGTACTCCTGTCCGGCCTCGCGATAACCGACCTGGAAGGGCAGACCCGGGGGTGCGCCACCGCCACCACCGCCGCCACCGCCACCGCTCGAGTCGCTGCCGGCCACCTCCGTGGCGCTGCCCCCCAGTGTGGCCGTCTCCACGACGTGGACGCTCTCGACGGCGATCCTCCCGCGCTCCTTGCGCCTCTAAAACATACACAAACGCAAATGCCAGTGCACAAACTCCAACACCCGGAGGCTCGTATTTGGCCGATAATTGCACGGCTGCGCTAAGGCGTCGATTCCCTGCTCGAGGCTCGCCTCGCACACCGTCTTATCTTCTCAATAAAGAGGCTGCAATGGTTTAAGCAGTAGAATAGAATGGGCACCGTCTCTGCTCGATGGACACGGTCATTGTCGAGCGACGAGTGCTTATATTTATGCGTAATCAATAAAAAAAAAGAAAAAGAAGAGAAAATAATGAAAAAAAATAATAAATTAAATAAAATAAACCCTGTAGGCCCTAGTATTGCGATAGAGACTTTATGCACTGCATTGTTTATAATTTACCTGTATTTTGTTATTTAGAATTTTCCCAGAATAAAGAATGCTTCTTTTCCTTCTCTTAGTCTTTTTTCTTTTTTTCTTTATTTCTCCCTCCCCCCCCCCCGCCAACCGGGAATTTACATATTGATAGAAATTTTAACGTTTTATATTCATACTTTTAAATAAATAAAGTGACGTTTTCAATTATTCCATCAGCTATTTTACGTGAAAAAGCTTAAGTCGATGTAAGCTTTTTGAAAAATGCGCTTGCAAACTTTTTGAAAGTCTATCCAGACATTTTTCATTTTCTCGATCATCAAAGGTGCTCAATTGTTTTAATTTATTATTTAAAATATCACATGAGTTTTTTGTACAAATTTTTTCACTTTCATTAAAAAATTCTTTTATTATTATTTTCGTCTTTGTAGTCCATTTTTATGATGTATATTTTATATAGAAAAAGCTTTCCCCTTTTGATTGAAATTCATATCCTCCTTTTAATCATAAATAAGTCTTGTATATAGCAAACAAAATAATATTGTATAATATTGTATAGTGAACGAATTGATATAAATTAAAATTTATTTATAATATTTAGCTATTTATCTATTTAAAAATCATGCTTGCAGTCGACTGACGGATATGCAGAAATTAATGAAAAAAATTAGATACGAAATTATAAATTCCATTTACTAACACAACTATACTGCCAGTTTCTTTGAAATTTATTAAAAAATTTTATAGGTGTAGTAATGCTTGTTCAATGTTTTCAAAGTGCAGAAAAATATTCTACTCTATTTTTAAATAAGATTGAGTAGCTGCAGATATTGTTTTGTACGAGATGCATTTCAAGACTTTATAGAAAACGTGATCAAATTCAATTCAGTTACAGAAAATTGAGAGCCCTGGCGTTCAATAAACAAACCAGTGAAAATTGGAGAAACTCGAGCGACTTAGGGGTTTATTGTGAAAGATATTTTAAAATTTGTTGAAACATTTCTAATTCAATCTATGTGCAAAAAATACTCTTAATATAATAAATTCGAATACACGCAGAAATAATAAGATTGAAAATTTTTTAATAGAAAATTGTATTTATATATTTTTACGAAATAATTGATTATTATATATTCAAATGCATTTATCCAGAAAATCTAAAGTCAAAAGTAATTAAAAAGCTTATAAATATAAAAAGAATGCAATTAATTATTTCCAGCTAATTAATAATGAAACTATAATATATTATGATTTATTATTAATTTTGTTTACTCTATGAATTCCATTTGAAAATCAATAATGATTAATCAGAATTTCGATAAATTATTATGCTTTAAGTATTTGAAATACATATTTTCTTATATTATTTTCAACGACAGATAAATAATAAAGATTTATATGCATGTACGTGTATATATGTATGTATGGTTAATTCAATTGTTTAGTATATATATATATATATATATATATACTAAATAATACAGTTTATAATAAAGTATTATTAATATATTTACTATGAATAGTTCCGCTTTCATTTAGTATGTTTCAAAAACAATTAAATATCCTATATTTATAAATTAAAGTCAATATTCTGTAATTATATTTTACGCGTCGAATCGAGTTAATCTAAATTTTGTTTCTTAAAATGGTATAAATGAGCTTCTGGTGTGTAAACGTAAATACATGCAACCATACATAAAAGTTAGATAAAATAATGAAAATGTATGAATGAAAAGTAAATTAAATTCACTTTAGACTATTTTGTGTATAGGCATAAAAGTATTATATATTTTTTTTCTCGGTTAAGAATTTTGCTATTTTAATATCTTTTTCAGATTATGATACAAATAATTTATACGAACATGAACTTATAAATAAAAAAGATTTCCCATTACCATTCGTAAATTTATGTGTTGTCAATTTTAAAGTATATGTCAATAATTAATTTATCTACATATACATCACAATAATAAACAATATACAACATACCTTGAAGCAAAATATACATATTATTTTTAAAACTAACAGTCATTAGTAACAACAAACAAAAACATATTATTCAAGATATAATTGATATATATCTTCAAACTAATCATTATTTGACAAGTTACGAAATTTATTAGCCAAGTTTGTAAATTCGGAAATAAGCTTGAATTCATGAGCGCAAATGAATTTTAATTTTGAATTTTTAATCTACGTCAAAATTCTATTAGATTACGCAATCGAATGCATTTTATTGCTATTTAGCTTTAAAGTTATTGATCATTGAAGTTAATATAATAGTGCCAAACTTAAGATTAATGGCAATTTTAATTACGCATGAAATATCGCTTGGAAAGTAGAATTTTTGTCATATCAATGGCAAGATGGATCAATCTTATTTTTTTATCATTTTTTTCATATTTTTTAAAATAAAAAATCATATTGTTTACATTTCAGTTAAATTCTTGTATCTCAAATATCTCCATTGCAATAACGTTCGATAAAAAAGTCTATCTTAATAAAACCTTATATAATTGCAGAAAGAATAACAGGAATCTTGGAGATTATCTTTAACATATTGGTTGAGCTGATTAACTTCAAAAACAATGTCCGATTTATCCGTTGTTGTCAATGGTTAAGCACACCGAATGCAAATATAGAGCCTCTAGCTTCTAAGGGTACGTCAGAACCTACATAGTCAGTCGCTCAATGGTGTTATCAGAAGAACGTGTTTCACCTCGCATTACACGTATTTTAGTAGACGTGTGTGAGTGCTGGTGAACGCGTGTGCGTATGCCGGTTTGTGTATAACCATGACTCACGCGGAAATGAGAAAAGCCTTCGTCCGTAAATTTTGCACTTCGCGTTTTGTCACGTTCTCATTGATTTTTATTATAAAAAAAAAAAAAAAAAAGAAAGAAAAAAAAGAGCGTTTAAGAGACGAACGCTGGGGTAGACACCTGCCCTCTTTCTCCTTGCTTCCTTATCGTTCTCAGAGTTTTCTTTCTCGTCTAAGAGTTCGCCTCTTGCTTCAGTCCATGACAAAGGCGGCATTTTTAGCTTTACCAGCGTCCTGTTACTACGTTAAACGAAAAAACAATAAACGAAAATAATAATACGATCCGTCTATTTTCTCACCAAATTGCATTATAAGATAATTAACTATAGGGACAAGGGAGGAAGTTTAATTTTAAAACTTCTTCAACCCTTATCCATTCCTTAGATTAATCTTTTCCTTTGCAAGCAATCATCGAGCTAAATCTACGAAAGTATAATGCAATTGTAGCAAAAGTATTATCGGATAAATCAAATGATTAATCATTTATTTGGGCACTGATTTATAGTCACCTCGATTTTTTACGATTTTATGAACAATGAATATATCCAAGTTTATCGATTATAAACTATGCTTGAATGCTAATGAGCTTTACAAAGACTTCTTATGCTAATAAGTAGAATGAACAAACTACAAATTATTCAATTTTAGAAATTATATTTATTTAATGTGCAAAAATTCATTGGAATACATAAATTTTTCTATCGATAGAACCATTAATTTGCAAACTCATAATAACAAAAAAAAAAATTTTCAAAAATTTATAATGAAAACTTCTGATTATTTACAATGCGTGTTTGTTTTTTTTGTTTTTTTTTTTTAATAGATAAGCAAACCACCTGAATGCGTGAATAAATAAAAAAAAATTTTTTTAAATTCTTATTAAGATTATTATTACTGAATATATAAGTATTGATGAATATTAGAAACACGTTTATCTAATTTGCTATATTTTTAATGTATAATAATTTCTTAAAAAGTCAGTTATTGTACGTATGCATACGTATCAGTATTAAACAAAACGATTCTTAGTATTCAGTAATATAAAATATTTGTACCACTTGATTTATAATTAATTGAAAAATGTGTAGATTACAAAATAATTCTTTTAATGAAATTTTTAAAATAGCATTTATTATCTAGTAATTAATTTTTTCTATCGCAATTACAGTATTCTTAAATTCTATAAAACTTTTTTAATAAATAATTACTTCATAGATAAAGGTAGGAATGAATGCAAAATAAAATTTTTATAAAAATAACTATAAATCCATTCAAAATTAGTTAATGTATCTAATATGTGCAAAATTATAAAGAAAATATTTATTTCAGCTTCAAAATATTTGTATAAAAAATTTCCACGTGCATTCAAGATTTATTGTGGAAAAATAAAAACATGCTTGACAGATTTTATATTGTTAATACGCATGGAATTTTCTTCATTAAACATTTTTAAAAATAGTGTATTTTAAAATCCAAAGGATTCATGTTATGAATGCAACAATCGTTAAATTTACCAACTCATAAGTTTCATTTTGAAAAAAAGTGAAGAGAAATAATGAGGAATCCACTTCGTTTTCAGGTAAAGATAAGTATGACTACTTTTCATGAGCATTCTTGTTCACGCCAGAACTCGCGATGCTTTTGAATTTAAATAATTATTTGTTATAATTTTATTTTACTTTGATAATAATGATGAAGTTGAATTTCATACTCTGTATATTAAGAAATTAATTTTCTTTCGGTAAAATGTTTTTCTTTATTTACAATTTTACAGCAATAATACTAGCAATTCATTAGAGCATATTGAATGTATGTAAAGAACAAAATTTTATAATTTATGTTT